GCTGCGTAAGCGGACGACCGCTTTCATTAAATGCCCCTGAAAATAACTCTGGCGACCTGCAGAAAAACAAGCATCGGCTACTGGCGTCATCCTGGTGTCAGACAGAGACGAAAATGCAAACGTGAAATATTAACAAGTGCCAGGCCAACAGGAAGATAGAGAAAAGCATGCAGCAAAATGGGCCGTGTTAATTTAACGCTGCTGCACAGGCGCTTAACAAAAAAAAGTGTGTTACCTTTTAAATGATAAATGAAAGTACACCTTTGTCGGTGAGGGGGGGGGGGAGGGGCTGGCTACTGGTTCAATAAACTGCAGACAAGGAAATGCGTAAAGATCAGCCTCAAGTCATGAATGCCCTCCAAAAATGGGAATGTGTCCTCTATTTTTTTATAGCAATATTTTTATCGAAAAGAACAAGGATATGTACCCACCCTCTATGCTACCAAAATGAATGTGTCCTCTATTTTTTTATAGCAATATTTTTATTGAAAAGAATAAGGATGTGTACCCACCCTCTACGCTACCAAAATGAATGTGTCCTCTATTTTTCAATTTTTGCCTTTTATTCACGGTTCCAGTCCACAGCAATGCTGAGGCAGGTTGCGCCACTGCTTAGTCACGCTTGCATCTCTCCAACGGTCATCTCCGGAGTCGACCCGTGCCAAGCTGAGGGTACACTGGGCCGGGAAAACACTGAAATCCCAGTCTGCAGCGTGCCAAAGCCGCTGCAGATCCCACAGAGTTTGATTATTCCACACTGAGGTGTAAAAATGGAACACCTGGCTACTAAAGTAAGCACAGCCAGAAAAACTGCAGGTTTATCACAGGCAGCTTTCAAACACACATCTGAGAGATCCCTAATTGAACAAGCTGCATGGGTCTATCCGGCAAAGCCTCCCTTTGATAGTCTACCTGGAAAATTAAAATCCTTCAAAGTGCATTACAGACAACTGTGACAATAACATCTGCAACACATTCTGCAATTTAGGAGAACAAAACAACGTACAAACTGAGATAGGTGAAGGCTTTAAGAACAGATTGCCAAGTTGTTTCATTTATATAACAGCAGCAAACTACACCGATGTAAGACATTCGCTTTATAAAACGTACACTTCTGCAACCTGGAGAAACTGTGTGGAAATCACTGTAATTATCCCCATATGCAAGACTATAAAAATCAGGTTTTCAAATCTGGAAGAGCAGGTTGTAAATGGCCTGAGTACATTATATGCATATTTACTACATGGGACTGGAGGTACAAAAGTGCCTTAGAGCAGGTTTCTGCTTTTATACCCAAAACACAACATCTGAATATCTGAAAAATATACTAATAGCTGAAAAAACAACAACACAAACAATACATCAAACTACAGTCATATGAAGTATTAGAATGATCTTCAAAACACATTCAAACAAAACAAAAATGCAAGCAGAAATCCACGACAATTCTGTCAAGTGGCTATCTGATAAATTTCACTAAACAATTGCAGTTTTTAGATGAGAGTCAGGAGTTTCTGCAGAAGAGTAACAGTCAGGTGTCTAATTAAGAAGCATCTTCTGTGGCCTGAGGGACAAGCTGACCTCGGTCGCGTCTGCCAGCAGAACGCTGGGTGATGTAAAGGGCGGCCAGTGTCCGATGGAGCTGAATGATCAATGTTTCCTTTGGAGAAATAAATGCTCAAACGGTGACATTAAGATGGAAAAGAAAACGCTGATTGACTCCTAAAGGGAAGAACTAAGCTTTCTTTACACGAAGGTCTTTTGTAGGTATGTGCACCTCTGCTTTCAACTTCAGGGAAGTCATTTTAAGCAGGAAATTGTGCCCCAGAACATGTCAGGAACAGAGTTGCTGTCTAGTCCGTGGATCATTAATGGGTATTGGGCAGAAACACCTACACCTACAGAGCTGATGCAAGACCCCTTGATTACCCTGGTAAACATAACCAGTTACAAACAGCAAGTGTGGCGTCATCAGTATTACCCAAGATGTCTGAAAACAGATGCTTCCAGGGAACAACCCACAGCCTCAATGCTTGTGTATTCTGCAGGAGTCTTTAGTTCAACACCCAAAGAAAGCACCAGCCAGAGATAAAGCAAAACAGCAAACCTCTTCGCAATCTACCAAAATCTGCTAAGTATTGCATTGTTTTCTTAATGATGTGTATGTATATATAAATTTTGATCTCTTCAATTTGGAAAAAAAAGTTTAAATATATTCAAGATCTTCAACTAATGTTAGATTTGCTCCAAGATAATACAATGACTGAGCCGGCAGTTTAGTATCATTTCAAGAATTTGCTTGACACGCAATGCAATTGTTCATTAAGCTCACCAAGGGTCATTTTATGGCGTTACAAAACAAATGCTCTAGCTGTCATTTTCCATAAAAAAAAAAAATCCATACATACAGTTGTGGTTACAGTTGAGACCAAAGCAAGCCCCGGGATTAGAAAGCAGCATACAGTAGGGAACACCAACCACGGGAAAACAGCCGTACCAGGCAAACGTGACGTGGACATCTTAGAAGGCCACAATGGTGCAACTTCAGTCCTGAGAAGGCAGCTCTGCTTTGCTCTGCTCTTCCTGATTCTGCGAGCGGACAGCAGACAAGCATGGCACTTGGGGGTGAGGGTCTGTGCACAGCTCCGCTAAGAAGGAACATTTTGCCAGCTCTACTTCGCAGAACCTCGGGAGCAACGGATCAAACTAAATTCCTTTCAACAACAAAGGCAGGTTTTCTTCTTTTTTAATAGAAGGAAATTAAAGAGACCATGTTTCACCCCTAAACCACACACCTCCCCTACAATCCTACTCAGATATTTTTAACATATTCTTCTTTTAGACAAGCAGCATCTTACCACCAGAAAAGCCAAATAAGCAGATGACACTTTTGCCGAGGCACTTCAAGGTGACTGCATACTGTATGTAAACATATTCAGTAATTATACACCATTCTACACCTATGCCTGCACATATATGCATGATTCCAGTCTTATAATGTATCTTTACAATTTTTTTTTTAATGATACAACTTCATATCACTACTGCAGCTTTAAAATATTTGAGACCTCAAATACTCTAATTGGTAAAAGTACAAGTAAATACAAGCCGTACGCTGATTTAAAAAAAAATATTTTTTAGGTATACCATGTGTCATACTGCAAACAGATATTTCCCCAGAGAAAAATCAGTTAGCTGGTTTCTTCAAAAACAATATAGATGCCCCTCAGGTAAACAGAAAAGGAAAAATCAGGGCAGCCAGTAACCTGGAATCGTGTCCAATTTTGCAGTACAAAACAGTGCTGCGCTCCTGCCTGGGGAGCACCAGTGCTCTCGGGAAACTCACCCGTCCAGCGCAGCAACTAACTGCACGTTATAGATGGGTTCTACAAAAAGCTTGTGAGCCAATCACATCCATTTCTCTAAACAGTTACCAAGATAACTGTAATACGAAAAAGCAGCACCTCTAAAACAGCCAATAGTTTTATAACGGTGTCTAAATTTTAGCATAGAACCCCATTTATACAAACAACGCTGTTTAAACAAAAACATTATTTTTGTATGGTTGTTACATATTAAATAAACACACATCACCAATTTTCTGAAAAATAAAGGTTAGCAATCTTTTCCAACTAGATTGATACTATTGCAACTTTGTAGCAAATTAACTGATTGCAGTGAATTCCAGGTTAGGGTTTGATAATCAAATTTATTTAGAGACAAATTGCTCAGTATCTCTTAAGAATTTTAATTTTGATCGTATCTTATAAACTGCATACCGTATCGCCCACAAAGCTGAGCATGTGGCCACAGGTTTCATTCGTATTGAAGGAGGAAAACTTCCCTCGGCGTGCATGTAAGCGTTCATCCATGACCGAGAAATGTGGAAGTAGCCAGCCAAAGGGAGAAGCACGGCCTGCAATGCCACTGGTGTAGAGTCCTTACGGCCACCGGTGATCATCCAAAACTCCAATAAACTCCTCTATAATTTCAAGCAGTTTTGATACTGTATCATATTATCGAATAACAAAAAGTGAACTACCTAAATGTGTCTGACTTTATAAAAAATACACGTGACTAATAACATTTTCATAGGAACATTTTCACTGTTTATTTGAAATGTAACTATAATAAATAACCAAAGATTGCGGCCTTTAGAACCCATCCCTTTGAACTGATCGTTTCCGAGGCACTTGGATTTCGTTATCATTTGGTTATGAACTCATAGGATAACAACGCTATAATCGTCTTTTAATTATGTTTTAAAACGGATAATACACGGCACACTGCAATTTCAGATTAAGACGACAGGATACAAATTACCACAAACGTAGGCTATTTATTTCAGCAACATTAAAATGCAGGTTCAACAGTTCCAGTCGCCGAAGCATGAATGGCTTGACTGAATTTGCGTTCTTACAGCCAAGCTATTTTGTCTTATAATAACTGAACGCTGGTCCCTTTTTAACTTCGCCGTGACAGTCAGTTCAGTCTTCGCATGCCCGTGCTCCCACCTTGTGGAGAGACGTCGATTTTGATCATTTTAAAGACGTCCCGTTTTCACCATTCAAAGCACAAAATATTCCCGCGGGGCAAAGGCGTCATAAAAATCTATTACAAAGCAGTTCCTTAAAAACTGGTGCATTTTATTTTATTTCACAGTCATGGCTGAGCCGATTCTGGTTTGTTTATTAAAATACCTTTCACGGTTAATCCGAGTTAAACAGGAGGCTCTACTGCGTGCTTTTCTTCATCGCATTAGCTAATTGCATCTCTTTGCTTGCCCCTCAGACACAGTTTGTGCGAGTATGTGACTCTCTGGAAGCATGACGAGAATCACCAATGAGAATTAACGAAAGACAGACTACAGCTGCAGTGCTTACAAATGCCCATCAATTAGCGCACAATCCGGCCCGTCCTTACATCACTATGGCACAACAAACAAACATTTATCAAGTCAAAACATTGTTTCATAGCCGGTATTTTTCGACATTACTTACCATCTGAAACGAGCACGATGGCACACAGCAGAAGAGTTACACTGCAAATAGATGCAACTGACATTGTAGACATCCACGGTTGTAAGGCAGTTCCTTAATAGCTTTTACTTTGACAAAGTGAACCGGTTATTCGTTTATTTACAATCGGTGATCCTTAACTTCATCCGTGGGAAAATGCCAAAACCATAAGGAACCATGAAGGATTCGACGGCTGTCCAGTGGACAAGGCACGGAGAAGGTTTTGGTCTTTTATCTAGTACTAACAGTCTAAACACGGAAAAAGTTCCAGATATCCCCACTATATAAAGCGAACGACTTCAACATGTTTTGATTTTTCAAATGCACGCCCTCAGATATTCCAGTGGCCAATCGTTAAATACTCAAATGAACGCTGGAACTGCATCGAACGGAACTACACATTAATCCTTAGGAAAATACAAGTCACCGACATTCATTTGAAAATGGCATACAGGTTGACGTCGAAAATGCTGCCGTACAAAGAATATTTTGCTGTACTGTCCATCGGTTCACAGTCCTTGGTGTTTAAGAGATTGGTCTCTGAGTTATGCAAAACGAGCCGCAGCGGTACAGTCGTAATAAGCCGCAAGTATTAAGCCCCAACAGAAAGAACGTCCAGCGACTAAGATCCAGATTCCAAAACGAAATCTTCAGGTCGTGACGCAACAATGCGATTGTTAAAAGATGAAATAAAGAAAATAACTTTGATTCTTTGTTGCGAGACGCTCGTTCCAAGGCGCGTGTCTGCTTGCCTTCCGTGCACTCCAGGCTTTTATTGAAGTTCCACAGCACACATTAATTCAGCGACGCCCGTGCCGCTCCACACTGTAGCTAACAGCAAGTTGTCTCGTTAGCCAGCAATGAGAAATCTAATCCTTAATTTAAGAAACACTGACTTGGTTGATTTACATCTTTTAAGTTGCTTTACCGTTTTCATGCACTTCACCGAAGCTATAAGTTTGAAATCAAAATTTCACCCAATAAAATCCGCCTCGGATCCACGGCGTGCGCAAGAAACAAAAAGAACCGATACCACACTTGTCTCATTCCCAGTTCGTAAATCAAAACTCAGAAATTGTTCATTTCCGAACGTCCGACTTGCGACTCTAGGTACATTCGATGGGCCAGATGGAAAGGGAAAAGCAGTTACTATTCAGCTATGTCGAAGTCCTATTCAGCATTCATCGGACACACACAGCGTGCTTGCTAGTTGCTGAAATCCGTCATCCCTGCCTTTCGCTCTCACGAGCGCCAGCAACTAGACCGTGGTCACGTGGCAAACATTCATGCAGACTTTATGTGTCCCGAGCCAACATGTTCGTACTTGATGTTTCATATCAAAGCCAGGACGACTGTTTTAGCCTGTTTGCCGTGAAAGCTGCGATACCTTTGGTATAGTGAATAACGGCATCCAAACGTGGTTGTGAGCAGCTTTTGTACTGAAGAAAAGCATTTTAGCCACCTTTAAACAGATAAACCTCTCAGAAACAGCGCATGCGTGACGACATAACTGTGATGCTGGTGTCACTTTCCTGCGTAATACGAATCGTATATTATTAGGCAAAGCGCTTGTCGTTTATGATTACTTAGAAAGTAATAGCAAAACACTGTAATTTATCCACACATAATCGTTATATATTGCAATCGCAATGCTTGCTTTGTTAGTGCGTTTAACAATTTCAAACATTTGTTCATTTGGTAAGTAGGACATAGCTGAAACACATTTATCAGTTTATATTAGTCTTTCGGCGCTTTCGTATGTTTACGCTGGACCATTATTGTCACTTTGAAGCAGGTATCCAACACGAGCTTATATAAATAGATTGATCATAAAGTCATAGGGTGGAGATTCAAGTGGATTTCTCCGCGTTTAATTCATTGAGATACACGCAGTTTCCAGTACATTTTGGGTAGCTGAATTAGCCTAAATTATTTACCAGTGAACAGGGGCATAGCTAGAAATTATGCCTCACCCCTGACAAAATGTCACCTTGCATTTTTACTTATTCAGGGGGCCCTGTCAAGTGCTGCCCCCCCCCCTGAATCTTCCAGAGTGTCCATGCCCCTCCAACGGCCCCAGCTAGTACATATAGGCTATTGATTTGGGTTCGAATGCCAATTGTGTATCCATCCACATGTCTCTGGTGAGCGCTGCAGATATGCTCAGCTGACGGTAAGATTGTTTATAAGGTCTCCTGGTTTCATCCAGATTTTTTTTTAATTGCTGGAAAAAAAACAGACTTGCAACAAAAAACGCCCAAAAATATACACCCCAAACCATATCATTTGCTGAGGCAGATTACCTGTGCAATTACTCTGCAGTTGTCTGAAGAATTAAAATCCTTGTGGAATCCTGCTTTAAATGCCAATAAATCTTAAGTGCCAGAATCAGGTCAACAATTGCCAAAAAGAAGTCAGTTTTATATGCATTTTTTTAAGAACTAAAACAATAAACCTGACTGGGAAAAATATAATTTAATCTGTATAATGCAATATTAATATAGTACTTATAGAAATCAATTTAATTGGTGACGAATGCAATTTCACTATGAAGTACTAAGTTAGACCATATTGCTAAAATTTTGGTACTGGTTCATTAAATATGTCATATTTTGTACCCTAAAAAATCCTGCCCATACACTGTGCGTGCCCTTGTCAAAGTGAAAACAGAAGGATGGTGTTGCTGTGAATTAGTCTTTGTGTGCTGTGAGTGTGTATACAGTATGTTTCCTCAAGTATTGACAGCGAATGGAGTCCAGCTTTGATAATCTTCTTAGCGTTGCATTATCACAGTCAGCTTGTGTTATCCAATCCTCTGTTTAGCATAATGGGAAAGTGCCTGTGTGTGCTTAATTGATTTAATTGTTTGCAGGAAGATAGCATGGATCCTGAATAAATAAGTTTAATAAGAACTGCATGTCTGTCTGGTGCTTCCAGCTTTTTTGAATCTTTTCAGTCCTCTCTGGCCAGCCTGTCAGTAGTAACTGATGGACAGAACACAAAAGCCCAGTTTAGTGATTAATTTGCTGCTCTGGGGCCTGTTTACTTTCAGTTGCCCACTTCAGCCGTCCAGGAATTTGCATTTCTTTACAGTTTTCTCCCCGGCTAAACCACTGAGTGCTTTGGAGGCAGTGAACAATCCATGCAGAAGCTGAAAGTCCAGGGCTGGACTTGAGGGATTGTAACCATAGACCTCCATGCGTGTGCTTGTGTCAGTAAAAAGTATGTGTTTATTTTCACAAAAGGCCACAATTGTCAGCAAAAAGAATTTCAACAGAATGACAGTTTCTCCAGTAGTCTAGAAAAATAATGCTGAACTTGATGGGAAAGCATCAGTTGAAATTTCAACGAGCAGCTACACAAAGCACATGGAATCAACAGTTTATCCATTCTGTATGTCAACACATTCAAATTCCAAAACGCTCATGAATATATATGATGCTTGTAAATACAATAACATCCCAGCTGTACTATTGAAAGTATTGTTGACTCATTTAATGCACATTGAATTCACACTGAGTAACAAGAAATCAAACACCACTGAATGTTTTACTAAGGATGTAGACCGATAATTAATATCATAATTAAAGAATATATATAACATGCTTTTGATCCCTCAACAGAGTTGGAAACCCACAATACAAGACTTGCAAAATAAGCACAAAGCATGCTGAAATGTTTGATAATAATATGTAGAAATACTAAAAAAAAAAAATTAAACTTCAGATGAAAGTGAATCATTGTGTTATGTTGAATTTGCCTTAATACATATGTAATTCATTTAGTCGTGTTTGATTGCTTTTAGTCTGACTGTAAGTTTTCAAAAGAAAGTAAAATTGCATCCTAATGCTGACACATTAGTTCAAATCATGGGAGTCAAATGAGCTGAATATAAGTCTAAGGCACTACAATATATTTGACCTGACAGAATGAATGTTCTATAGAAATTCATCCATTGTCTGTATACCATTTTTCTAATACAGGGTCACCATGCATTTCCAAAATAAAAAATGCAGGTTTGGGTCTAAAATAAAAGCAGGGCCTTTATATTGCTTTCTGTGTTTGACTGGGAGACTCATTATCTTCACAGTTTCTACCTTCCTATATGAGAGGGACTGGTATTATGTCACTCCCAGTAGCCTCCTACTTTGTAGCTAAGTGTCTTCTTTTGGTGCACTATTTATATGTCCAGCATTGCCTTGTGTGGCCCTGTGCTCTCTGGTGTGGGTGTAGGATCTAAGGCATCAGCTGCAGTCGAGATATGTGGGATCCACTGTGAGATCCAGGACTATCACCACACTCCAGTGCACTTCCATATCCGAAGAGGCAAAATACATCCAATGAAGAGACCCTACCAGAAATGCAGTTATTCTGGAAAGAGGGAATGCTCCGGGGATGGCAGATAAATGACTGACCCTGCGCTCAGACCCTAAGCTTAACCTGTATACGAGTGTGTGTGTGTGTGTGTGTGTGTGTGTGTGTGCGCGCGCTCGTTTCAGAAGAGCAAGATGGGATATGCGAAAACTAATGCATTCCAAATGACAAATAGAGCATCATTCCATTCCAAATTAAAAGTTACAATTTGAGTGAGATGCCTGTGAAACCAGAGGCCATCCTTCTCTATGCAAAGCCGAAGGGGAAATGACGTCTTCTGAATGGCAAGCACCACGCGACAGTTACTGTAGCAACAGCTGGGCAGCTGTGCATAACTGTGCATCGCTAGGATGAAGTCAGCCCTGCTGCCAGCTTATCTGGGCTTTTCTGTGGCATTGCAGTGTTTGGTCTATGGACAGCAATCCTATCATACATTTGCTGATAACTATATTGGAAGTGGCAGAGCAGAGGCGGCTGGTCACAGAACATAATTCCAAGGTGCGACATCAATCCAGCTGTGACGGGTACAGCTGAGAGAGCCAGCTCTGCTTTGGACAGTCAGCCTGGGGGCCAGGGGGGGTGTAGTGAGGCATTTTGGTAATCTATCATGCACCATCACTTGGAAAATCAGCACGTACCCTGGGATTTGAACCGACGACCTTCCTATCACAGACACAGTGTCGTAACCCATACAGCCACACACCGATCCCCCCCCCAGAAGGAACACTCGGCTAACACATCGTTAAAGAACAGTGCAAACTTCTTCATGAAGGTCCTGTATGTCTTCTTTGAAATATGTCAATTTTGGTAGCTTTATAGTTCTACCTACTACCACTATTTCTGTGACCTCCATATGACCTCCCAGGAGGAAAAGCATCAGTGATGGGCAAAATGAGACCTTCTTTCCTGGGGTAGGAGCTGGGTGGTGAACAGCTCCCTGAACCCTGAGCAGCCCCCAGGACTGCTGCTAGCTTATAACAACACTGAGGGAAATCTTGTCGAACCGCCTCCCTGTTTTGTCTTGTTTGTCGCATACATGTGATTACAGTCAAGGACACCTTCACCACATCAGGAAGGCTGGGCTTTAGAAGTCCAGGTTTTCTGGCTCTCAGACGCGTTAAAACGTTCAAAGGGGCTACATAGCAGATTCAGAAGAAAGCAAGAGATCAATACGATCATGTTAACGGTGTCCCTGAGCCCCAGCGAGGGAGGTGTACAGTGTGACCGGTAGCTATGGTGGCAGGATTTATTGGTTTTTAATCAATAGCCACAGCCCACTGTAGCTGACCCCTCCCCCTGCAAAAAGAACATACACCTACCCACTTCAACCAAGCAAGATGGTGTACTGTAACACACCGCCAGCACTGGATAGACTGTCACTGCACTCCATCATTGTACTCTACATTGTATCATCTTAATATACTGGTGCATGTTTACAGTGCTGCTAATTTTTAAACATATGATTGCTGCAGTATTTTTGTTTCAATCTACACTGTGACTTTTAATGCTGCTAAAAGGAATACATTATTGTACTATACTGTACTGTACTTTGTTTCACTATTCAGCTATATACTGTGTATCTATATTACATTTTTTAATATCATGTATTGGGGAAGAAAGCAGAGTTTTGTTGTACATGTACACTGTAAATGTAAGCTTTTCTTTTCAATTTTAGCTGTCCAGAAACTAAACCCAGCTAAGGAACAAGCAAAAAAACAGGGAACAGAACTCAGAGGAACAAACACACAGCTACATCCACAATGGCAGGCTAAAGAACAGGACAACGGCAGGCACCTAAATACACAAAAAATGAGGCCTAACAAAAGGCAGGTGTGAATCATCAAGACAACCAATGAGCACAGTACAGGGACACAGACCACAGGTGGGGAAACTTAACTAACAATTAACAAGCACAGAAACTCGGGAACTTTAGCATATACCAAAACTAGAAAACATAAACTTCCTACTGGGAAATAAACATTAGGCATAATGACACACAACTGAGGGCTAACACTAGGAAGCAGAACAGAATTAAAATGGACATAAATAGG